TTGAGAGTATGGTGAATACTAGATTCAGATTAATCTTTTTAAAATTTTGATAATATTTTTAGACTTATAGATAAGTTATAAGAATATGACAAAGATTTCTGGGATGTTCTTCACCCAGATTCCCCACGATGTTAATGTTTTACTACATTTGCATTGTCCTTTTATATTACTTATGTGTGTGTGTATATCTGTGTTTACTTATGTATGTATATGTGTGCTCATACATGTGTGTCTGTTTTTTTCTGAACTAGCTAAGAGTAAATTGCCTTCATGATGCCCCCTTAATCTTAAATACTTAACTAAGTGTGCTTTTTCTAAAAACAAGTTCCCTTACGTAGCCACAGCACTTTGATGAAAGTGAAGAACTTACCATTGATAACAATACTGTTATCTAATCTATAGTCCTTATCGTATTTTGCCAGTTGTCCCAATATGTCTTTTATAAGGAAAGAAAATCCCAGATCCTTTGTCGGATTTAGTTGTTATGTCTCTTCTCTCCCTTAATCTGGAACTATTCTGCAGTATTTCTTTGTGTTTCAAGGTACATGCTGTTTAGACACCTGATAAATACATATGAAACATTTTTGCATATTGATAGATATTGAGAGCAATGTAGCTTAGTAATTGAGTCAGGGCTCTGGAACCAGACTGCTTGTTCCAAATCTAATTTCACTACTTAATACCTGTGTTATTTTGGATCAGTTTTCTTACCTGTGAAATAGGGGTACTAATACTACCTCATAGGGTTGTGAGAATTAAATGAATACATACGTGTCCATTACTGAGTATGGTGCCTGGCACAGAGTAATCTCTCAGTAAATGCTGGCTGTTATTCACACCATTCCATGGATTCCTAATGGACATTTTGCAAACATCTCAGCAGTAGGTGTTGTGGCTGCATTCTCTCCTCTTCTCCTCTCCTACTCTTCTTTTTTCACATCTTGGTTCCAGTAAACAAATGATCAGCTTACTAGACTATACTATGGTTTGGGTTGGAAAACACTGCTCCCAGATTCTAATTCATGAACTTGTATTGGTTGGTAACAAGGTTTTCACTGGTCCAAGAATCAGAATAGTGAAGTGATTTTTCATAAGTGCTAGATGTATTCAATTGTTTTATTATGAGATTACATAATTCTCTCATTTTTTGGTGTTAAAATGTCCTTTTTAGACATTTGTCATTATTGTTTTGTCATTATTGTATTTTCATGTATGTAGTGGGCAATAAAATGAAACCAAACTTATTAATCCCCAAAATGATTTTGGAAATTTTACTGGTCCCTGACAGCCAGTGGTCTGGGAATTACTGCTCTAAGAGATGTATGTTTGGCTCTGTGTTTTATGAGTACATGTGAACATGTATGCATCTAGAAATTGATTAATTTAGTCATTGATTGAACATTTATTGACTCCCGAATGCCAGACATCGCACTAAATGTTTTACATATTTCATCTTCATAATTAACCCTTTGAGCTGTGTGTTATTTTCCCTGTTTACAGTGAGGAAATAGAACTCAAAGAGGTGATGTAACCTACCCAAGGTTATACAACTGTGAGTGACATAACTGCAGATGGAACATAGGTCTTCCTGATTACAGAGGCCACATGGAATTTTGGCATAGAATCCGTAAAGCCACAAGCTCATGGGTATCTTTTCAATGAAGATACGCTGAAAGTACAATTACCATGTAGAGGATCTTTTAAAAATAATTTTTTTTAAAGTGGACTTGTAGTGCAAAAAGTTGAAAACATTTCTCCACCCTACAAACAACAATCATTAGGACAATAAGTGGGAGTTCCTCATTTCTGGTGACTCTTAAATTAGGAATGAAACTATCGCCTTGCCTGAATCAGTGTGATTCTTCAACCTTTGATTCCAGCTATAGGCTGCTGCTCAGGGGAAAAAAAATTAATTGCCGTGTGAAATCAGCAGCTATCCAAGAAACATTTCAAGAACTCCTGACTAGGAATAGCAAATAAGATGGCATTTAAAGACTTACTACTAATGTGAGCTTAAAAGTTGAAGGCCAAGTGATATGTTGCTGAAGTAGACAGATTCCAGCTGCACAGCCATGGGGCTGTGTGTCTAGTGCAGTGCTTCTTACATTTGGCTGCACGTTCCAGTCTTCTGTGGTGCTTCTGAAGAATACATAATCCTGTGCCCCCATCTAGACCTACTGAATGAGATTCTTTGACTGAGGGACCCATAGATACGTGCAGTCGAAAGGTTCCCCCAGGTGATCCTGAGGCCACACCAGCCTTGGGAAAAGTGAGGCACCCTCAGCCTAAGAATTGCTGCCCTAGACACACTCTTTAAATTTGCACCTAAACTTCGATCAGGGTTACTGGAAGTGATAAATGAAGCAAGCCTTGGAGTCGTCAGAGCTTCCCAGGGCATTTTTAAGACCTTCTTTTCTTTAATTGTCTCTGAAATATGAGCTTTCTCTCAGTGTTTGTTAACATGCTCACAATTCCTTGTTCTAAGTAATAGAATAGTTGTAGAAGAGTAATTTTGTGGCGATTTGATCATCCACTGATTGATTTCCTATCTTTCTCTGTGCTGTATGAATTCTGCCAGCAGCATCAGAGAAGAATGGCTGGGGAGCTGCTCTGAGGCCCACCCCAGACTCCTTACTGTGGCTCATGAGGCCCCATGTGCTGTGGCTGCTGCCTTGTCTCGTATCAGCCTCTTCCTCAGTAGCTGTGTTTCAGACACATCTGTCTTCTAGTTCCTTGAATACGCTGACCTTATGCTTCTTATGCCCTCAGATCTTTTGGTGGAATCCCTCTAATTACTTCGGTCTCAGCTCAGTTGTGCCTCCCCAGAGAGGTTCCCTCATCAGTCTCTGTTGTATTACCTATTTTATTTTCATCATAGCATTTATCACTATCAGATAATTTTATCTACTTGTTTATTGTTTTTATCTTACACTCCAATGTCAGCTCTATAAGAGCAGATACCCGTCTTGTTGCTCATTGGACACTCAGCATCTGGAACAGTGCCTGGATCGTAATAGGTGCTCGCTGAGTATTACAAGAATGAATGCTTTGAGCTCTGCACTGTTGCCTACCCTTCTCACAGGGCAGGGCTGAGCTGGGCTTGTGTAGAATCTCTTTTCTGGAGCAAAGCTGTGTACCTTTAAGCCTGAAGATTTTTCCAAGTCTGTCATGCTGCAATGCTCCCACGGAACTTCTTCCTTGCCCACGTGCTATAGGGTAGAATGACAACAATTATTTGAAAATATATGTCCATAAGGCTCAATTAGAGGGTAAATGATCCCTTTGGATTAGAGTTGATTTCATAGTCTCTCAAGTGGTGGAGTTTTGTCTTCTGGGCAAGAGCTACATCTTGAGATCCTGAGTGCAATAAAAGACATCTTGAATTTAGAAGAATCTTGCCCTGTTTGTCTCTCCTGTCTCTCTCCTTGCTATAGAAATACAGTAGTCTGGGTACAGACAAACTTGTGGCCTAAGCTTCTGACTTCCAGAGACATAAGTGGGGCCTGCTGGGACAGTGTAACACTGTGTGTTTTATAAAGCTCCTTCGGAAAGCTTCAGGACCCTCCATGGGTTAGAATATCTTTCCTAGGGGACCCCTTTGAGAATATGATGACAGTAATAGACCCTCTCCTCAGAAAAATTTACAAGTACCTGTGTATATGGTTCTGCAAATAATTTTGAGGGGTTCAAAGACTTGCTGAATGCCCTTAATGGACCCTCAAATTCTGTCTGGGGATTTAGGTTGATTTGTTCATCTATGACAGCTGGGCCATAGCTCTTCCATGGCTATTTCTTTCTGACTTGGTCTCCTGTCTTCTGTGCCCTCTCTTGTTTTTATAATAACCTGCTGGACCCTCTCAGGCCCAGAAGAGGCGATATTCTCCAGGAGTTCAGGTATTCAGTTCTTGACCCACCATGGCCATCCCTTATTTCCATGTGTTCATCCAACATTTGTTGCTGTTTCAAGTCCATGTGGCTGTTGTCTCAGGAGTCCCTAGTCTCTGGTCTTGACTGCATCTCCACCTTGCATGTTGACCGCCTAGGACAGTGGGGAGCTCACCAAAGGCGTGGCATGCCTCATGTTACCTTCTCCTTTCATCACCCTGCCTCTCTGCACTGCCTTGGCACTGGGCTCATTCTGGAGTGGTTAGTTCATCATTTCTAAGGAAGAATTTGCTCCTGCAACTCTGTTGGAGACAGGGAACCTCTGAAGTAGATGGGAAAATGAATGGGTTATTGGGAAACTTTCAGTTTTCTCTCTGTGGGGGTAGAACCTTGCCCCCTTTTAGTATTTTTGGGAGAAGTTAAGTTTGGAGGAGGTTTAAGTGGCTGGAAAGCATTTTGGCTAAGAACAGTCACTGTGGCTAGAGAAGCCCATCCAGCAGCCCTGCTCTAACTGTTCTTTCTAAGTCCTAATTCATGTAGCATCATATGCTTACAGAGTTTTAGAATTTGAAAGGAACTATTGTGAATGGAAAGGTTCCCCTTCTCAAACAGGTATTTTCAGAATACCTGCTGTGTACAAAACACTCACCCTGGAGGGGAAGAGATAGGGCTAAATGGAGATGTGCGAAGATGCGTAATAAATGATTTTTTTCTTCAAGAAGCTTACGTGGCAGTTGGGGAGACAGGTATAATATATATACATAAAAAGGAAACCCCTAGTACTGGGCAGTATGTAAGTAAGTGCCAAAAGGTGATCTCTGGGAGGATTCAAGTCAGACTCCAGAGTCTTAATGGGCCCATCGTGGGCCCATTCCAGATTGGGAGCAAGGAGAATTACCAAAGGCAGGTATGGAGTTCAGTCACTCCCTGGGCCCATATCCCTTGAGTGACCATCTGAATGTGGGTTCTCAGGGGCTGCCAGTGATGAGGCAGAGTGGTTGTCTGATCTGCTGTAAGGGGCTCAGCTTGTGTGCGCAAAATTCCTGTTGCTGTTTGCACAGGCGTTCCTAAGAGCTCTTCCTTATTGTCTTTGCTTTTCCCTCCCTGCTTCTCAGCGGGTATTCCCCTACATCTCAGCCATGGTGAACAACGGCTCCCTCAGCTATGATCACGAGCGGGATGGGCGGCCTACAGAGCTGGGGGGCTGTACAGCCATTGTCCGCAATCTCCATTATGACACCTTCCTTGTGATTCGCTATGTCAAGAGGCATTTGACGGTGAGTCCTGTCCTGGACCAGATGGTAGTATGGGCTGTCCTGCTCCTGCTCCCATGGCCTGACCCTGATTTACCCCTTCTTTTTATTCTAGATAATGATGGACATCGATGGCAAGCATGAGTGGAGGGACTGCATTGAGGTGCCCGGGGTCCGTCTGCCCCGTGGCTACTACTTCGGCACCTCCTCCATCACTGGGGATCTCTCGGGTATTGCCACGTACATACATTGTTTTTCTCTGACTGAGGCCTCCTCTCAATATCCAGGCCTTGGCAAGCCTCTCAGACGGGAGAGCCGAGCTCAGGGAAGGGATGTGTTCCGAATGCATTCTTACATCCAGACTTCTTAAGAAACCCAGGCCCAGGCTTTCCTAGAACACTTGTCTCTAGGAGCTGGTTGGTGCTAACAGAAAGCAGTGTTTGCCCCTTCATCAGGCCAGCTCTTCTAGCCTTTGTTGCGATCCCCTTTCTGTTATTAGGCTCCTCTCCTTCCACCTGCTAATGTGTCCAATTCCTCTCCTCTTGGCAAAGCTTTTCCTTGACTCTGCTGTCCCTCTTCTAACTGACTCCCAGACTCCCCTTTTGCCCAGACTTTTGAATGTGTCATGTGTACAGATGCCTTTGTTCCTAACCATCTACCTCCTTACTGTGCTGCACTTAGACCTGTGTCTTTACCTTGCTATTAACATTATTCTTGTGAAAGTTACTTCTGTTTTCTTGCCGTATACAGTGCTCTGTTCTCATCCTCACTCTTTGTCCTCTCTTCAGCTCATTTAACCGATTACTGAAACTCTTGCTTCCTCGACTTATATGGCATTAACAGTACCTAGTTCTTTTACTTTTCTGTCTCCTCTGGTATCTCTTTTTATTCATGCCTGATTCATAGCTTTTTATATTATTGTCTCCATGGACTTCAGCTGCAATCATAATGTCTTTTGGGAAAAGATAAGGAACTAAACTTTTGGTTCTTTTGATTAATTTATTATGGATAAAGTTAGTTCGAAACAGAATTTTCTTGTGGCAAAATGGAAAGGCAACTATCCATCTGAAATGGGTAGCAGCTACTCAGCTCCAGCCATTGTTGCCAAAAGGAAATATGGGCTCCATGAAGCCAAATCTTCCAGTTTTTCAAGAGAAGCTAAAAATCTGAATTTTTAAAACCTAGCAGCTAATTTTTTTAAAAAACCAACTCTATTGTGTTATGCTTTTTATATAACAGAATACAGTTTGAAGAGTTCTTTTGTTTTTCTTAAAAGACAGGGTCTTGCTCTGCTGCCCAGGCTTGAGTACAATGGTATGATCATAGCTTACTGCAACCTCGTACTCCTGAGCTTGTAGAGATATGGTCTTGCTATGTTGCCCAGGCTAATCTTGAACTCCTGTTGTCAGGTGATCCTCCCACCTTAACTTCCCAAAGTGCTGGAATTATAGGCATGAGCCACCACACCTGGCCAGTTAAGAGTTTTGACAGACATTTACACCTATGTAGCTACCATCATAATCAAGATACAGAATGTTTCCTTCATTTGCCAAAAGTTTCATTGTGTGCCCTTTTGCAGTATTTAGTGATGGGGGTCTCGCTGTGTTGCCCAGGCTGGTCATGAACTCCTGGGCTCAGGCAATCTTTGTACTTTTAGTTGAGAAAATGGAAAGGTTTCAATTATTTTTTCAAGGCCACTTCTAGTTAGCTGTGGATCAGGGCTTGAACTAAGATACTGACACCAAAATACATACCTTTTTTTGAAGTGGCTTAAGTAATCCTTGTTCCTTTTTTTTCTAGATAATCATGATGTCATTTCCCTGAAGTTGTTTGAGCTGACAGTGGAAAGAACCCCAGAAGAGGAGAAGCTGCATCGAGATGTCTTCTTACCCTCGGTGGACAATATGAAGTTGCCTGAGAGTAAGCACAGGGGATCCTGGGAAGTGTTCGCATGGCTGGGGAGGAGGTTGCAGTGCTGCATGGGGTCTGAGGTGACTTGTATGCAGGGCAGTCCTGTTCTGTGTTCTTTCTTTGAAGAATATGGAGCACTTGCACCCACTTTTCACTTGTTTTCACATTACAGATGAGCAGCAGGAAGGCTGCTTTGTTTTTAAATTGGAAAGGGGAAGTCTAAGCTCTGGTTCCCCAGAAACAGGTGTCAGAAACTGAGGACTGGACAGTCTATAAGTTGGTCATCCCCTACTGGGTGGGCTCCATTTCTGACTTGCTTCTCTCTTGCTTCCTCAGTGACAGCTCCACTGCCACCCCTGAGTGGCCTGGCCCTCTTTCTCATCGTCTTTTTCTCTCTGGTGTTTTCTGTATTCGCCATTGTCATTGGTATCATACTTTACAACAAATGGCAGGAACAGAGCCGAAAGCGTTTCTACTGAGCCCTCACGCTGCCACCACCTGCAAGACTGTCACCCATGAGGTGTGGGAAAAACAGGTGCTGGCCTGAGCACACAGCCTGATGGGTCTTCTCCAGTCTCCAGCAGCTGGTCAGAGACTGTGTTCTGTCACTGGAGCTTTGAATGCAGGGACCTTGAATTCACATGGTCATCCATCGGGACATCTAACTCTGGTCTGGGAAGCCACCCACCCCAGGGCAATGCTGCTGTGTTGTGCCTTTCCCTGCAGTCCTTCCACGTGGGAGCAAAGAGGCGTGGAGAGAATTTATATGCTTGCGATGCCAAAATCACAGAGCAGAATATCATGGCCCAGGCTGCCTTGTTGTTGGACTCGGAGGACCCTCTGCCTCATTTTAAATCCACAAAGAATAGAAAACTGATAATGCCTCATACCTTGCAGCCATCCATTCACTGGTTTTTGCTTTTTACCCTGAGGAGTTTTCTTTGGAAATCAGAATGAAAACTTCTTCCCTGCCTCGCTTTCCTCTCTCACTCCATTCATTGTCCTGTGTGCCACCTGAGCTGGAGAAGACATTTGGATGCCCCTCTGTTGAGGCCTGGGACTGCACAACAAACTTAGTTTCACTGGCCTTCATTTGGTGGCCCTAGGGAGAGGGCTTTCTGCTTTGGCTCACTGTTCCAGCTTTCGTTCTCTAGGCTGGGTCTTAGGTCTGTTAGTGTGTCCGTGGCCTTCCTAATCAAATCGTTTCAGGCCCTCCATCAAGTTTGGCTGAAAGTTTGTGTGTAAGTCAAGAGAAGCTTGGAAGACATCATGGATGCCATGGGATTAACTGTGAAACTGGCCAGCTCCAGGTTTGATACTGAAAGCAACATTTATCATGTGGTCTGACCACGTGGAAATGTTTCTGGACTCAATAGAGTCTGCTTAGCTGCATGTTTTATAGTTATGATTTTTGGAATCCCACTTTGAATGTCGAAAGTATAAGGAAGCTTTCTTCTTATATCCTGAGCTTGAATACTGCCCAAAGAGGACATTTGGCGTCTTTTTCTTAATGAGTAAGAAATAGTTGCTGTTTTCATGTTCCAAGTCTGGGAGCATTAGACCCTTATCATCTGTGCCTAGAAGAGTTTGTTGTCTTTGAGCAGCCTGAGTGCTGTCTTCTACATGTCAGCCCTTATTCTACTGCCTTATCTGACAAGGGGTTACATGCTGCTCACCTCTCTGCCCTGTGATTAAATTGGTTGCAGGCCAGAGTCTCCTGGAGGGCCTAGAACTCTGTGCTCTCTTATGGACCTCTGTAGCCTAAAGGAAATTCTTAAAATGCCTGATGGAACCAAACATGAGCTTTTGACTCAGTGTCCTTCCTTCTAGGAGTGGGTTTGGGGGAAGTTCCAGGCCTTTTTTCCTGAGCCTCAAGCCCATCAACCCTTGCTCTGTCTTCTCTAGGGATGAAAAGTCGCCACCTTAGCCCAGAAGGAAATGGGGGTCATCTTGGCTGGGCACAGGGCTCTGTCTCCTTGGGCCTCAGTTAAGCAGCACAGGCTATAGTGCTCTTCTCCTAACACCTTCACAATAGCAGAGTAACTCCAGGGTGCCAGAGGACAAAATGACGTAGAGCTTGGCCTTGGGACAAGGAAGAACTGAAAAAGAAAATGGTGGTTTTGTCTTTTTGAGTTCAAGGGGAGATTGCATGGACATGTGTAATGGGAGGACCTAGGTAGGCTCTTGAGATGGCCTAGGCAGCAGTGCAGGAGGAGGGGGTCTCCGCTGAAGGATGAGAGATTGAACGTGTGGGGTTTGTGTGTTTCCAGCTCATGAGTATTTTGAGGCTTTTTTTTTTTTTGAGACAGAGTCTCACTCTGTCACCTGGGCCTAGAGTGCAGTGGCATCATCACAGCTCACTGCAACCTCAAACTCCTGGGCTCAAGTGATCCTCCCGCTTCAGCCTCCTGAGTAGATGGGACTACAGGCATGTGCCACTATGACCAGCTAATTTTTGTGATTTTTTTTTTTTTTATAGAGACAGGATGTTGCTCTTTATCAGGCTGGTCTGGAACTCCCATTCCCAAGAGATCCTCCTGCCTCAGCCTCCCAAAAGTGCTAGGATTGCAGGCATGAGCCACTGCGCCTGGCCACCTGGAGGCTTTTAAAAGAGGACAGGGAAGACGTGAGATGCAATCCTCACCCAACCTGGAGCTACCCTTAGAGAAATGTGTGATACAAAAATAATATCTTACTAGCATTGGGTGCCCTGCCTCAGCTTTTTGTTCTAGAAACAGATGTTTCCCATTGCGAATGGGCTAAATATTGTCCTGGGCACTGTAATCCCAGGTGTGTGTACAGGAGGGAGATGCCTGGTCCATGGTATGGCTCTTCTTTTTTTTTTTTTTGAGACAAAGTCTCACTCTACTGCCTTGAGTAGAATGCTGTGGCATCAGCCTAGCTCACAGCAACCTCAAACTCCTGGGCTCAAGCCATCCTTCTGCCTCAGCCTCCCGAGTAACTGGGATTACAGGCATGCGCCACCATGCCTGGCTAATTTTTTCCATATATTTTTAGTTGTCCAGCTAATTTCTTTCTATTTTTAGTAGAGACGGGGTCTCACTCTTGCTCAGGCTGGTCTCGAACTCCTGAGCTCAAATGATCCACCCACCTCGGCTTCCCAGAGTGCTAGGATTACAGGCGTGAGCCACCATGCCAGGCCTCTTCTTTTTTTTTTTTTCTTAGAAACAGGGTCTTGTTCTGTCGCCCAGGCTGGGGTACAGTGATGGGATAGCTCATTGCAGCCTTGAACTCCTGGGCTCAAGTGATCCTCCTGCCTCAGCCTCTTGAGTAACTGGGATTACAGGCATAAACCACCATGCCCAGCTAATTTTTTTTTGTTTTTTGTAGAGATGAGGGTCTCACTGTGTTGGCCAGTTTGGTCTCAAACTCCTAGCCTCAAGTGGTCCTCCTGTCTTGGCCTCCCAAAGTGTTGGGATTATAGGTGTGAGCCACTGCACCCAGCTGGTGTGGCTCTGCTGTGCATGCATAGTAGTGGGGAGAGCAGGGGCCTTGTGCTGCCCATGAGGGCCACTTCTTTCCTCACAGTTACCCATTCCCTCCGTTGTCCCCTGACTTCAAAGCTTCTTAGTGAGGAGACCCTGTGGACTAGAGGTGGTGTGTAAGGATGATATCACTCCTGGTCCCTGTGAGTCTTGTCTGAAGGGCTGTCTTTTTCAGCCTTTCATGTTTTCTTCAATCCCCCCAAATTACAAGGTGGCTCTCTGTTATAAAACTTGTTTATTTCAGTGGAAAATTACAGCTCTGTTCTTCTTGTTGGAAGTGGTTTCTGAACACAATAGCTAGAATATCCCTAGCTCCTTGCATGTGTCCCAAAGACAGAAACAAGGAACTGGTAGGAAGCTCAAGGGCAGGGCTGCTGGTAGCCAGGGGAGAAAAGCCAGGCAAACATGGGAGAATTACTCTTATGGGACTGGAAGTTCTGGGAAAATATCACTCAGGTGATTCTTGGGTCCTTGGAGGAGTTTGAACTCACGGTCTATCGTAGGCTTCAGGTTTGAATCTGGGGTTCGAAGGATGGAAGAATTGGCATTGCTGGTGTTTAGTGGAGTGATGATGTTGAATATTTTGATGGGAGGAGATAGCCGAAGTTCAGGTTTGATCCAGTGCATAGCCAAATAGTGCTAGAGAGAACAGACAACAGTTAGCCTGAGGTAGCAATGTGAAGGCGCTCTCCTCAGGGTCATCTCAAGACCAGCCAGTGCCTTTGTCCCTGTCACTATGGTTGCCACTCACCGGAGCTGAATACATAAAGTTGAACAGCAGAAGTGCTGTAATCACTATGATCACTAAGGCTATGATTTTGAAGTGGTAGCGTTTCCAGCAAGCACGGCAGATGTTTTGAACAGGTGACCGAAACCACTTGAAAGAGCTATCAGTGCGTCTGTGCATGAACAGGAGAGTTGTCAGAGAACAGAGGGCAGAGGGAACCTTTGGGTCAAGTAATCCTGAGCAAAGAGCTTTCTTTTCTTCTTTTTTTTTTTTTTGAGACAGAGTCACACTGTGTTGCCCGGGCTAGAGTGCCATGGCTTCAGCCTAGCTCACAGCAACCTCCAACTCCTGGGCTCAAGCAATCCTTCTGCCTCAGCCTCCCAAGTAGCTGGGACTACAGGCATGCGCCACCATGCCCGGCCAATTTTTTCTATATAGTTTTAGTTGCCCGATTAATTTCTTTCTATTTTTAGTAGAGACGGGGTCTCGCTCTTGCTCAGGCTGGTCTCGAACTCCTGAGCTCAAACAATCCGCCCGCCTCGGCCTCCCACAGTGCTAGGATTACAGGCGTGAGCCACCGCGCCCAGCCTAAGAGCTTTCTTTTTAAACAAAAAAGCAACTTCTGCTTATCCCCAACCCCACCCTCAAGTCTGTTCTCTCCCAATAGTAACTGAACACAGAGCTATGGTGTTAGGAAGTAATTACCCCTCTCCACGTGTAGGCCCACTGCTCACCACCCCATACAAACTGAGGAGAGAGAAAGATTGGGTGCCTTTGCCCCAGAGGACTCTTACAGGGGAGGATGAAGTGTAGGGTATTGGTTGGGTTCCGACTGGCCTCGCCCAGCTGGCTTGATTAAGGCTTCCTTCTCAGACAGCATCTCAAGAGTCATCTTCACTTTGCCCTAGGAACACCACAGGTGGTGGGAAGCTGAGTTCAGATAGCAGGAGTAAGGTAGTTTTAGGACCTCATCCCGGGGCTCCAGAAAGGAAAAGGGATTTAGTTAAGGTTCCCAAAAGTCTGTTAAAGCCAGGTTATGTGGCATAGCAGTCCTATTCAATAGGCACCTTCCCTAGCTCCTACCGACAAGCGCCATTTGCCATCGTCGAGGACCTGACAAGGCCACCAGCCAGTTACAGTCTTCTTCTTAAAGAGGGAGAAGTGCTTGTATTGGAGGAAGGCGGGCCACTTGGAGTCAGCATCCATCATCCTGATGGAGCATTGGTTGGCGTGCCGAGCTGGGAGGGGCATGTCAGACAAATCCAGCTCCAGGACCCCTGAGCCCAGAGAAATGCTGTCAGCAAGAAGGAGCTCCCAACAGGGTGCAGTGGCTCATGCCTGTAACCCTAGCACTCTGGGAGGCTGAAGCGGGATGATCGCTTGAGGCCAGGAGTTCAAGACCAGCCTGAGCAAGAGTGAGACCCCTCTACTAAAAACAGAAAAAGTAGCCTGGCATGGTGGTATGCGCCTGAAGTCCCAGCTACTGAGAAGGCTGAGGCAAGAGGATCACTTGAGCCCAGGAGTTTGAGGTTGAAGGGAGCTATGATGACACCACTGCACTCTATTCAGGTGACAGAGTGAGATTCTGTCTCAAAAAAAAAAAAAAAAAAAGCTGTGGTCATAAGCCCTGTGCCAGGACCTCACCTAGGAAGTCATCAGGGGAGAAGATGTCATTGTCCCAGACCTGGATGATGAGCCGGGCTGGGAACTTCATCGATGTGGGGTCCAGGCTCCAAATGTAATCCTGGAGGATGGCAGAAGAGTGTCCCTTGGACACCTGATTAGCCCACTACCCAGGAGCGATGGATTATCAAGAAAGAGTTTCTGCCTGAGGACATGTTCCTTATGTTCTGGAACAGCCTGCAGGCCTCTGGGGGATGTAGGGGAGGAAGAGCTCCTGGAGCCTGAGGTTGTTTGTATGTTGGGGGCCCTCCACGCCCCAAAGACTATTACCTTCTGGCTGTGGATGCACACACGCTCCGCTGCCAGGTAGTCCATGGTAAAGATGAACCGCCAGTTGAAGTTGCCCTCCCCAGTCAGGGAGTAGTAGTGGATATCTGTCTTCTGCATGTCATCCTCTAGGCCGTATAACCACCTGGGGCCAGAGTCCTTTCACCTGGGGTTCATGTGTATTGTCCCCATCCCTGAGCTGGAGCCCTGTGGGAAGGGCTGCCTAGCTGGCACCAGGCACAGGTAGAATTGGAGAGGTGTTCCCTCAGGATTGGGAAGCCCCAGCAGAATGACAGAACTGGGGGACCACAGGGGCTCTGCTGGAGCCTGACTCCTCTCTCTCACCCTTTGACGTAGATGTCACTCGTCTTCTCTCCACTGAAATTGCTATCCACCAGGTCCACGTTGGCAGTCTGCCAGATGATGCAGCGTAGCTCATACCTGCAGCCACTGTGCTCAGAGGCTTTGCTGAGGAATAGCTCCCCAGCTGCAGCCTTAGTGAGGGAAGAGAGGCCTGGGAGTCTGCCCTCCATGCTCTTGCTGAATTTGGGGAATTCAGGGAAAGAAAGCTCCCAATAGAGCTTCTCTTCTCAATAGAGAAAAGAACTACTACA